ATAGGTAATATGTGTATTTTCAAAATGACAGGCTATAGGTTTTGCTGTCCTACATGGTCAGTGTGATAATTAGCCTACTCATTATGTCAAGGCAGCAGTATTTACTGCATGTTATAGTACTGTATGTGTAGGAGTGTGGAATCCTGTGTTCTCGAGGATTACAGAGACCCATGCAGTGGTTATTTGTTCTAGCCGACCACACAATAACCACCATTTATTCTCTGTTAGGACACTCAGAAGATGCAATCACAAACTGTTCCATACCTAAAAATTGTATGCTTTAGCTTTGTGTTACGCAGAGTTGAACAGGGGAACCCAAGAGCAGACTCGGACGAGGAGACTGGGATGAAGTAACCAAGGTATTTATTGAAACACAGGGGGAAGATGGAGTGCAAGTCAGGGAAAACTGCTGGAAACCAGGTGCGGAGGCTGAGGCTGGAGCGAGGGGGGTTGAGACAGGGTGAGCAGGTCCGGAGGGGAATCCAAGGGAGTAGTAGAGTGGGGAATCCAGGACAGAGTAGCAGGATGACAAGACGTGGGACTGAAGACAGGGACCAGAGTCAGAGCGGGCAAAACTGTAGCGCAGAGGAAAACAGCGTCAGGCAAGGAAAACAGCCACAACAGGATCTGAATAGTAACAAATGGCTAGAACCGTAGACTGACTGAGCAGAGATTACGATCTGGCAGTGTGGAAGTGGCAGGACTGAGTATTTGTAGAGGTCTTGATTATGGAACAGGTTGCAGCTGGTGGGGATCTGCTCTGACTCCAGCACACCTGTCTCCGCCCACACAATCACACACAGAGCGAGAGCGAGAGAGTGAGTACTGGGGGAGTGGTGACAGGTCAAGGAGACACAGGATGAGCAGTAGAGGGCGTTGCAGGAGCAGATGTGACAGTACCCCCCCCCCCTCTACGGGCGCCACCTGGCGCCCGACCAGGCTTATCTGGGTGTGAGGTATAGAAATCCCGTATGAGGGAGGGGTCCAGAATGTGACGGCGGGGCACCCAGCAGCTCCTTAGGCCGTATCCCTCCCAGTCCACCAGGTACTGCCAGCCACGACCCCGACGGCGCACGTCCAGAAGCCGCCGGACGGTATAGGCAGATGGTCATCGATGAGCCGAGGGGGTGGAGGAGCTGCTGCAGGAGGAGACAGGGGACTGGAGCAGACAGGTTTAATTAGGGATACGTGGAAGGTGGGATGGATCCTGAGAGAGGCTGGGAGTTTCAGGCGCACCGCAGAGGGGTTAATGGCACGGTCAATTTCAAAGGGACCAATGATTCGGGGGGAAAGTTTATTCGATGCCACCTTCAATGGCAGGTCCTTCGATGAGAGCCATACCTTTTGACCCGGGTGTAGACTGGAGCTCCAGGTGTAGTGACAACGGCGCAGATAGTCCTGGACAGAGGGAACTGCATCCTCAACCTCTTGGGCGGAGAACAAGGGGGATTGGTAAACCAGAGCACACTCGAAGGGTGACATACCTGACAAGGTGTTGGTGAGGGTGTTGTGGGCATATTCAACCCACGGTTGCTGAGCGCTCCAGGAGGAAGAGTTAGCAGAAGTCATGCAGCGTAGGGCAGTCTCCATCTCTTGGTTGGCCCGTTCAGTCTGGCCATTGGTCTGGGAGTGATATCCAGAAGAAAGACTGACATTGATACCAATAGCTGGACAGAAGGATCTCCATACATGGAAGGTAAACAGGGGTCCTCTGTCGGAAATGATGTCAGTGGGGGTGCCATGCAGACGAAACACATGGGATACTAACAGGTCCGCAGTCTCCCTGGAGGAAGTGAGCTTGGAGAGGGGAATGAAGTGAACCATTTTGGAAAACCTGTCAATAATGGTGAGGATGACGGAGTTACCGTTAGATGGGAGAAGGCCAGTGACGAAGTCCAGAGCTATGTGTGACCAGGGGCGACTGGGTATGGGAAGAGGGCGGAGCAGACCGGAAGTGGGTTTAGTGGAGGTTTTGTTTCTGGCACAAACCGAACAGGCTGAGAAACTCCCAGACATCTCTCTCCATGGTGGGCCACCAAAAGCGCTGACGCAGGAAGGCGAGGGTCCGGTTCATACCAGGGTGACTGGTGAGGTGGGTAAAATGGCCCCACTGAAGAACATCAGCGTGAACACAATCTGGGACAAACAGAGCATTACTAGGACTGTTACCCGGGTCAGGCTGGTTCTGCTGAGCCTGGCGGATACAGGACTCGATCTCCCAGGTGAAGGTGGCAGCGATGCAGGTGGATGGCGCAATGGTTTCTGGCTCGGTACCCGTGTTGTCGGTGGTGAACTGGCGAGAGAGGGCATCAGGCTTGGTATTCTTCGAACCGGGGCGATAAGTGAGTGAAATTGAATCTACTGAAGAACAAGGCCCACCTGGCTTGCCGGAAGTTCAGACATCTTGATGTAGGACAGGTTTTTATGGTCAGTCCACACAATGAAGGGGGTTACAGAGCCCTCCAGCCAGTGACGCCATTCCTCCAGAGCCAGCTTAGCTGCCAGGAGTTCCCAGTTTCCGATGTAAAAATTCCTCTCTGCAGGTGAGAGCTTACAGGAAAAGAATGCACATGGGTGGACCTTCTGATCAGAGGTGGAACGTTGAGACAGAACAGCATCTACCCCGGTGTCAGAGGTGTCCACCTCCACAATGAACTGGAGTTCTGGGTCGGGCTGAGTAAGGACCGGAGCAGAGGTGAAGCAACGCTTGAGTTCCAGGAATGTTGCCTCTGCCTTAGGAGTCCAGTGGAATGGTGTGGAGGTGGAGGTGAGAGGTGCTGCCAGAAGGTGTTTGTTGCGGATGAAACGTCTGTAAAAATGTGCAAACCCCAGGAAATGCTGTAGCTGCTTCAGGTTGGAAGGCGCAGGCCACTCTGTGACTGCCTTGACCTTGGCGGGATCCATACGTAACTATACCTGTGCAATAATATAACCAGGAAAGACACTGTGGCAGCTTTAACAAAAAGCTTACTCTCCAACAGCCGTTGAAGAACTTGGCGAACGTGTTGCTGATGAGCCTCAGGGTCATTGGAAAAAATCAGGATGTCATCTAAATAGACAAAAACGAAGCATCCAATCACATCCCTCAGCACGTCATTGACTAGGTTCTGGAAAACAGCAGGGGCGTTAGTAAGACCAAAAGGCATGACCAAATACTCAAAGTGACCAAGTGGTGTGTTGAACACAGTCTTCCACTCGTCCCCCTCTCTTATGCGGACAAGGTGGTAGGTATTCCGGAGGTCGAGTTTGGTAAACACTGTGGCACCATGGAGGGGGACAAAATCAGAGCTGATGAGTGGCAAGGGGTACTTGTTCTTAACAGTGATATTATTCAGCCTACGGTAGTCCATGTATAGCCTCAGTGACCCATCCTTCTTCACAAAGAAAAACCCAGCACACACTGGGGAGGAAGATGGCTTGATAAGTCCTGCAGCCAGAGAATCCTGGATGTACCTCTCCATAGCCTCTTGCTCGGGACGAGAGAGGTTAAACAACTGGCTACTGGGGAGAGGAGCTCCAGGCTGGAGGTCAATGGAACAGTCGTACGCCCGATGAGGCGGCAGCGACAGGGCATGGTGCTTGCTGAACACAGGAGCTAGATCGTGATACTTGAGAGGAACTGATGACAGGTCTGGAATGAACTGGGACACAGACAAGGCAGGGGGAAGGGGGAAGGGCAGAATGTAAACAATTAGAGTGACAAAATGAACTCCAAGTGGTTACCTTCCGGTGATCCAGTCAATCTGTGGGTTGTGTAGCTTTAACCATGGATGGCCAAGAACCAGGGGAGAGTAAGGACAGTAGATTATGTGGAAACTGATATTTTCCTGGTGATTTCCAGAGAGACGCAGGATGATAGGGACGGTTCTCTCACAGACACGGGTGGAAAGCTGTCCATTGAGAGCGTTGGCGTCGAGGGGTGAATCGAGTGGGACAGTGTCCAGGCCCAACTGGGTAACGACACCGCGGTCCAGGAAGCTTTCGTCTGCGCCCGAATCGATGAGAGCAGGCAGGTTGCCTTCAAGCAGGGGTCTGGGGGAAGATGGGAAGGCGATTTGGCTCAACAGTATTCCCCCACTACTGCCGAGCCCCCACTTTTGCTGGATGCAGGGAACAAGTGGAGACAAAGTGACCAACCTGGCCACAGTATAGGCAGCTCCTAGCGCCGATTCGTTGTTGCCTCTCCTCTGGAGAGAGACTGGCCCGGCCGAGCAGCATGGGTTCAGGATCTGGACGAGCCTGGGGATGGGATGCGGTCGGAGAAGGAGGACAAGGCACTGAAGCGGATGTTATGGGACATGCAACCCTACCTACCCTCTCCCTCCGACGCTCACGGAGACGGTTGTTAATGCGGATAGCGAGAGAGATGAGTCCATCAGGCTCATCCGTGGACACCAAATTTGTCCTTGACGGTCTCAGTGAGCGTGTTCCGGAATGCTGCCTGAAGGGCCTCTTCATTCCAGCCGCTCTCAGCGGCGAGGGTGCGGAACTCTCAGCAACACTATGGGGGCCTTGACGGAAAGACAGGAGTCGTTTAGCGGCATTCTTACCGCAGACCGGGTGATCTAAGACTTTCTTAATCTCCTCCGGGAATCTGGAGTAGGAGAAGCAGATGGGGGACTGTCTCTCCCACACCGCCATGGCCCAGGAAAGCGCTGCTCCATGGAGGCAGCCAATCAGAAAGGAAATCTTGGCCCGTGCGCTAGCATAAGTGTAGGGCTGTTGCTCAAATACTAGTGAACATTGTACCAAAAAGGCTCTGCAAGCTCCGAGGTTGCCATCGTAACGCTCGGGAGTCGGAACAAACGGCTCCCGGAGCGGAGGAGAAGGACTTGGAACTGGTTGTGAGCTCTGGGCGAAGTTTCGGCCCTGTAGGTCAGACAGGCTCTGTGAAAACTCCTTGATGTGCTCCAGAAGGGTCTTCAGGGCTTGGTCATGTTGCTCAAGCATGGTGCCTTGGCCGACGAGGGTTTGGTGGAGAGTAGCAGAGTCTGCTGGGTTCATCTCTTTGGCCAGATCGTACTGTTACGTGGAGTGCAACAGGGGAACCCAAGAGCAGACTCAGACGAGGATACTGGGATGAAGTAACCAAGGTATTTATTAAAACACAGGGGGAAGATGGAGTGCAGGTCAGGGAAAACTGCTGGAAACCAGGTGCGGAGGCTGAGGCTGGAGCGAGGGGGGTTGAGACAAGGTGAGCAGGTCCGGAGGGGAATCCAAGGGAGTAGTAGTGTGGGGAATCCAGGACAGAGTAGTAGGATGGGACTGGAGACAGGGACCAGAGTCAGAGCGGGCAGAACTGTAGCGGAGAGGAAAACAGCATCAGGCAAGGAAAACAGCCACAACAGGATAACAGGATCTGAATAGTAACATATGGCTAGAACCGTAGACTGACTGAGCAGATTACGATCTGGCAGTGTGGAAGTGGCAGGACTGAGTATTTGTAGAGGTCTTGATTATGGAACAGGTTGCAGCTGGTGGGGATCTGCTCTGACTCCAGCACACCTGTCTCCGCCCACACAATCACACACACACACACACACAGAGAGAGAGAGAGAGGGAGAGGGAGAGAGTACTGGGGGAGTGGCGGCAGGTCAAGGAGACACAGGATGAGCAGTAGAGGGCGTTGCAGGAGTAGATGTGACACTTTGCCCATAATGGCTGCCCTGTAGGGATCTCTAGTCATGTGCTGTGGGACTGAAGATACTAGTTCCTGAAAGTACTTAGGAGTACATCTGTTCTTATGTGTCCCTTCATTTTCAAGAGAAATTATATTATTAACTCACATCGCAATCTTTGCATGTGCAGACTGGGGACAGAACAAAAACAGTCAAACAACAACATAAATATATAATATCCTCCATATTGCTACATGGCTCCAAGCATTTCTGCAGAGTTTGAGTTTGTGTTCCTTCCTGACCAGTTACTATTATTAAGGGGATACTCAAACACTTCATATCCAGCTAATTTTCGAACGCTTTTTAAACACGGAAGCCAAACGCGGAAACTATGGATACAACTTCCTCCGCACTCGCGCAAATATGCTAATGCCACTAGAAATCCCTGCAATCATCTTGACAAAATACAACATATTACTGGCCTGCTAATGTACCTGGACCTTGTAGACTAAACTGCCTGAGAAAAAAAATTAACATATCTTATCCAAATGCTTGCCTAATCAGGCAGTCAAGATGCAGTTATTTCGAAATGAATATGCATTCAAAACGCCAGGCTTTTGAGCGTTTATTCAAATGACAGGCTATTCACTGCAGTTTACAGACTAGCATTTTGTACTCACTTGAAAACAATAATAACATTATTCATTACATTGTGTTGTTGTAGCCTTGGTAGGATACATTACTTGCCCTAAAAAAACGTAAATATATGGTAGCTTTTCCAGATACATAGAAGGGGACTGGGAGGGAGTGCACTCAGCTCAGCCTTGGGAGTGCATATAGTGTAGGCTACCTGTGATTTCGTTATCTGATGAACTTTTTTTGTTTTGCTGTGTAAATTGACTGAATATATCCACTGCAGTATTAAGCCTAACATTGAGTTGATGAATTATGGTCTAATATGCATACGCTTCTAACTTAGGCTATAGGCTACATCTCAAGCCTGTCTGTCTTTGTTGTGTTGTGCAATTACGCACTTGGCCTCTCCGATGCCACGGCTATCCCTCTTAAATATTGTGGAGTCCCAGGAAAAGCCAGACTACAAAAGTTAATTGGTGTCACGTCTCCTCCCGTTGCTCCCCTGCGGCGCTATGATTCGCCGGTCTACTGAGCCACCGGTCTGAGCGCACCACCTCGGCAACACCGGAATGGGAACCCAACGCACCCTAATCACCTCCAGCGCACCTGCACCTCATCATCTCATCACCACCCCTATATAGCCCTGGACTGTTCAGTGTTGTGTTGTGTGTGATTGTTAGTGTCTTGTCGTGTACTCGCTCTTTGTTGTTATTTTGCTCAGTGTTAAGTAAACCTTTACATTGTTGATTCCTGCGTCTGCGTCCTGCCTCTTCGTATCCTCACATCAGTACTTGTCACAGAATCACACACCAATCATGAAGATGGATCCAAGAGGTAATCCTCCTGGAGTTTCCCAGCACCTCGACCAGCACCAGCAGCAGATTGCCCAGCTGAATGCTGCCATTCAGGAAGTGCTCCAAACGCTGCATAAACTGACCATCGCTCCGGATCCACCTCAGGAAGCGGCGAGTGCACCCAGTCCACCTCCTCCCAGGCTATCACCAACGTCTGAGGGACCCCTCACCCTGCCGGAGCGCTATGACGGGAAAACAACAAAATGTAGAGGCTTCCTGCTACAGGTTTCACTGTCTCTGTCGCGTCAGTGTGGGGCATCTCCATCGGATCAAGCCAGGATAGCACTGGTGATTTCGCTACTGAAGGGAAAGGCGCTGGATTGGGCCACGGCAGTCTGGGAAGGAGGTGAGGCCGTGGCGCTTACCTACTCCACCTTCCTTGCTCGGTTCAGGGTGGTGTTCAATCATTCCACGGAGGGAAAGGATGGGGGTGAGCGTCTCCTCCGGCTACAACATGGAGAGGGGGCCGCATGCGAGTACGCCCTGAGCTTTCGCACGGTGGCGGCGTCTTCCGGATGGAATGAGCGTGCTCTGCGCACACAGCCTTCAGGAGTCTTATGGGAGGACATCACGACGGAACTCGAATGTCAGGACGACAAGATGGACCTAGATACCCTCATCGCCACGTCCATTCATCTTGACGACATGTTGAGAGACCGACGGCGTTCCCAACACCTCCCGGAGCCTCGACGCTCACCCCATCTGAGCTATGGAAGCCACCCTGCCTCCGAGTCCTCACCCATGGAGGTGGGCAGCACCCCCTACACCACCACAGACCACAGATCTCCTGGTGGCTCCCTATCTAGGCGGTATGACTCCCGTCGCCGCTCCGTGAGTGTTCCGTCATCATCTGTCACCAAACCATTGTTTTTGGTTCCCCTAACGGTGAATGGTTCTTCCTTCTCTTCGCTTTCCATGGCAATGATAGATTCTGGATCAGTTGGGAACCTTATAGATAGGGAGCTGATGTCTGAATGGGGGTTGCCCACCGTGCCACTGCCTTCTCTGCTACACGTCACCTCGCTGGACAATAAACCACTTGGATCAGGCACCATTACGCACGTCACTCTCCCCATCACCATCACTATTCCCACACTACCGGAGCACCATGAGGAGCTGTCCTTCCACATCGTCACGTCACCCCTTCACCGGATCGTCTTGGGATTGCCCTGGCTCAGACTACACAACCCCACCATCAATTGGATCACCAAGAGGATCACAGCCTGGTACCCCTCATGCCGGAGGATCTGCCTGCCGGTGGTTTGTTGTTCCACGTCAGAGGAGAGTCCGGAGTCCGCCCTCCAGCCTAACATTCCACGTGAGTACGCAGATCTCTCCGATGTCTCCCTCCTCACAGACACTGGGACTGCGCCATTGACCTGCTGGAGGGACAACACCCCCCAAAGAGTCGCATTTACTCCCTCTCCATAGCGGAGACTGAGGCCATGGAGAAGTACAGTATGTGGTGGAGACACTGAAACAGGGGTTCATCAGCCGCTCTACCTCTCCTGCCTCCGCCAGCTTCTTCTTCATGGCCAAAAAAGACGGAGGACTGAGACTGTGCATTGACTACAGGGGTCTGAACGCAGTCACCACCAAGTACCGGTACCACCTCCCTCTGGTTCCGTCCGCACTACAGATTTGCCATTTCATAATCTTTTAACTTTTTTTTCTTGCACAGTTAAATACTTAGCCAATAGCTCTAATATCTAGCCTATATTTAGCTTCTTACTTTGGCTACACATCAGTAGCCTCTCTCTTCCAGCTGTTCCCATGCACAACATGCTATAGCCTACACAAGCCTCTCCACAATAGGCCATTCCTCTTCTTGTAAAATCCCAGGCTACAAAAGCTATAGGACATTTATTTGGATACTTTTTTTATACTAAGCCTAATAGCCTATTCGGGGAAAGAAGCAAGCTTGCTTTTAGTAATTGCTCATGTAAAACAGGCCTACATCATAGGAAATGCATTTCGGGGAAAGTTGAGGAGAGAAATTGCATTGGTGTGATCATTTTTGGCTGGTTATGATAACATTGTTGCACTGATGCATTGCAAATAGTTGCACAGGACAGACAGAGAGATGAGCAAAGGAATTGACAACCATTAGAAAAATGGAAATCACTTGCAAACTACTTGAGCAACGAGGCAATGACATGCTGTGAAAAGTTGCGACGGCTAAACTGTGTTTTAGAATTACTACATTTAAATACAAGTTACTTCATTATTTTACATTAGGCCTACATGTACATTGAAGTATTATTTGCAGTTGTCACTATGACAATAAACACACCGTGAAATCACTGAATGGTCTGAACCAGTGTCTGTGCGCTAGATACCTCATGAATGGTCTAGTGTTACCACCTTATTAATAGGCAGATTGCAGTAGGCTGTGTTGATCAGTTGATTGACAGGTACAGGACTGTGGAACGATAAACGATCCTCTACTGTGAATGCTCACCAACGTTTTTGTTATGGAGCCTATAGTTTATCATTATAGTTCTCGTTATAGTTATTGGTTTGGTGGATGGCCCTTAACTCTTAAACGACACAACTAACGTAATTATCACTACAGAATTACTAGGAAGTCTGGCTAACGTTAGCGAACTTGAATTAAGTACATGAATTACACTTACACTTTTTTACTTGACTTTTATACTCTATAAATTGACTCCTTCAAATAATTGACTAGCAAGTTTGCCACTTGTGCACTGCAGTAGGTAAGTAAAACGGAAGTCGAATCCATCACTTCCATTGTTTGGCTGTGCCCATAGCAACGTTAGAAAATTATGTGGGTAGTATTATTACCCACGGGGCATTCATTGGTTGAGTCAATGTTGTTTCCACGTAATTTCAATAAAATTGCTGCCTGAAGTGAAGTGTTAACAATACTTCTAAAACAGCACTGATGTCAAAACCCTAATGTACGATGTTTGTTCTCCCACAGTTCCACTTTTCTGTTGTGTGTGGAGCACGCCTGTCTACATGAATCTTGCCTGATGCCTAAAGCACCACAGTGTGGACAGTGCCAACATACTGCCTTGTCCTTTCTGCTACAGTACTATTTCATCTAGATTCTACACATCTGTGTCTTTTGGTATGAAGTACCACAAACGTCTTTCTGTGTTTTGGTGCTGGCAGGTAGGATCTCTTCTGTTCTGGGTAGAACTGAGCAGCGATATGGAGAAGGTACCAGTATAGTACATTCTTTTAGAGAACAGATTTAAATTTGATCGCATCCTAAATTGAAACAATTCCCTGAGTGTATGATTACGTCTCCCTACAGGGACTGCTGATCCAAAGACCAAACCAAAGTAGTCGTGGATAGTTCTTTAGTTATCCTACTGGGTATAAATCTGTCCCCCTTTTTTAATTTCTTCCGAGAGTCCAATGAATCTAGAAGGAGACCATTTTTTTGCGCCTTGGTACATATCATGCTGAACATCAATATAAGCCTGTCGTGGAGGTTATGACTAGGTCTACACTGTCACAGTAATGATAGCATCAGTCTCATTTGCTTTATCAGAGCATTGCAAATATCAGGGCTACCCCTACTGAAGATTGATCACCTCTCAAACAAGTAGGCATGTGCTCTTTCAAGCCACTGATTAATAGTGCCCATGTGGTGTCATACTCATTATGTAATGCTATTTATTACATACAGTATTAAATATGCATGTATATACACTACCGG